TAAAACCATAGAAATCAAACAAAACTAACCAATATGTACAAAGAGATCAGATGACGAAGAAATAAAACAGAGCTCAAATTATGAAATGGATTTCATACCAGTTCTCTCTCTTTGCATAACCCCCTTCGACAAATGACAGGCTTGAGATTGAATTTGAAAGATGCTAACGCTGGTTAGATATTGAGAAGGAGGAGAACAAAGCATTGACCAAGAGGAAGGAAGACAGAGGAGAATGTGGAGTTGAGAGAGAAATTTAGATGAGAGCGGAGATGGTGAAATGATGGAGATATGAAAGATATAGTCAATAGAAATCAATAAAAGTTTAAGCGTTGTTGCATAATGATAAGGATAACGAACGGGAAACGAAAAGCCTTGGAGTTTCATTAAAAGATCATGGCTATCGTGGATAATGTGAATGACTACATTCGCTGAAGGAATTTTTTGCATTATGCGTGGAGTTCAATTGGCCATGTCACTTGATGGAGATTTAAATTCAAAGTTCAATTGGCCATGTCACTTGATGGAGATTTAAATTCAAGCCAAAGGGGTTGGTGAGTTTTCGTATTCAGCACATTAATTAATGAGTTATGGAAGGTTAAGAGTCTAAGACACTAATTAAAGCTTATTATTGTGATGAGGAGAAAATTAGAATTAAGTAATTTGTAAAGGGCAAAATGGGTATGAAAAAGTTTTGACATGAGTATTCTCTTTTATAAGTAGTATAGATTTAACATGTCTAGGCAGGTTGAGTGTCCTTTTATATGGGCTTAAAATTTGACTCATGCATAGGGTTATCCAAACGGGTCGGCCAGGCTCGACAAACCGAGCCCGGGCCAGGCAAACCCAGGGCCCGAACCTAGGCCCGGGTCGGCCCGGTTATTTTTCTTTTTTTAAAATTTCAAGAGTACATAACTATAAATTAAACGAATTTTTGATAAAAAATCAATCATATTATTAATCACTTGTAATTATATAATTTACAAATATAAAAAATCATAGAAATTAAAACGATAAAAATAAATTCTTTATTAATAATTAGTTAATCACTAACAATTACAAATTTATTTTGAAATTTATCATATCACAATAGATGAATACATCCCAACTACGTTTGCACCTACTCATCTATATCACTATCATTTGTGACTCTTTCTAAAAATAATTTATCATAAATTTTTAGCTAAAAAATAAAAATTACAAACTAATGAGTAATTTATACTCTTTATCTCTATCTGTTATTCTTAACTATTCAAGTTTATCTTCAATACTAGTCATCCGATCAATACCTTAAGCTCTCTTCTCGTACCTCCACTAATCTTATAGGCACATTACTGCTTGTACGATATACGGTTCTAACGATGTCATGTGGTCGTTGATCAAACGTCTTGCTGTGCTGAAGGCAGATTCTGAAACTACCATGAAAACCTGCACTGTTAGTAAGTCACAAGACATGATGGAAAGTATAGGATATGAAACTATTTCATATACTCTCCATCATTGTAAAATATCGAAACTATTATTTTGACTTTTAACTAAAGATACAGTTAAATATTGTTCAATTTTAGAAACTTTCATTGATGATCCAGATCCAGATCCATATCCACCAGTTAGCTGAGGTATCAATAATTCTCTATCAAAACTCTTACTTTTGCTCTGACTCGAACTTGTAAAAGCAGAAGCTGTAGACTGATGTGTACTTACACCATATCTAGCTGCATACTCATCATATAATCTTTGAAAATAAGTTCTAATAGTATTATGATGAGTAAGAGCGGTAATAGTTTGACCATCATCATCATTGACTACTATCATGGTAAGGCATCTCCAACAGCTTCTTCAAAATTTTCTCCAAAATGGGGAAGCAAAAGTCATATTCTCCAAATTATTTTTACACCAACTCCAACGGCTTCCCCATTTTGAAGAATCCCTTTTTCCTCCAAAAATTTAGAGAATGCTACAGATTTGGGGAAGCTTCCCCATTTTTTTCTCATCCATCCCTATTTTGGGGAATGAGATGGGGAATCTGTTGGACCAAAAATCTAACTAAATTCTCCAAAAGTATGAAATGGGGAAGTTGTTGGAGATGCTTTTAACAAACTTCAAAGGCCAACATCCTTCAAACATGGATCAATAAGAACCCCCAAACCAAAAATAATAGGAATAAGCCTAAAATACTTATTAAATTTACTTGTTATTTAAAAAATTATATTTTCAAAATAATTATCCATACGATAATTATTAAAAATTTTTGAATATTTAAAACTTATAAAGAGGTTTGAATAATAATTAGATAATAACAACCAGATAATAATATAGTACATAAAAAACTTGTAACATCTCTTTTACACTATATATATAACTAACCATTCATGCTCAGTTATTCCATACATATTACTAGAGCTAGAACTAGAAGTATAAAAAATAATAAAATTATTTATAATTTCTTTATACTCTATTGCTTATATTTAGATAGAATTTCACCTATGGTCAATATCTTTTGGAATTAATCTGTGTTTAAAAATTTTTTTCTTTTACACAATTATTTGCATCTTTTAAGTCTTAATTTGTTCAGAAGCATTATGAGCATAAGCTACTGTCCTAACATATTCTATCATTGATTTAATTTTACCAAATGTACTTTGAACAATTAAATTTAATTTATGACACATATATCTAATATGAAAAATATCACCATGACATGGCAATAGCAAAGATGATTTGATATGATCAACACCTATATTATTATTACTTGTATTATCTGGTGAAAGAGAAAATATTTTTTCCGAAATTTCTAATTTTATAAGTTCTTTAATTATTAAATTTGTAATATTAATACCACTATGTGAATCTTCAAATGCAATAAAAAAAATAACTCTTTTAAATATTTATTAATTATCATCAATCCAGTGTGTTTTGGTACATAAAACATCAGTTTGTGCTCTAGATGTCCAAATATCAGAAGTTAAAAAAAATTATAGTTTTTAAACTTTGAAAATAAGAAATTATTTTTGCTTGTTCCTCATGATAATGTTTTAAAATATCACGTTGTCAAGTTTGACGAGAAATTTTTTTAAATGTGGAATAAAAACCATATGTAAACATATCTTCAAATTAATCATCTTTTACTAATTTAAAAGGAAGATTTTAAATAATAAACCTGATGACACATTTCTTGGCTCGGATTGCGCCATAGTTCTAACTACCGAGACTACTAGAAGATGAGGATTGGGAGAGTAAAGATTGTCGTATATCACCTTGAGGCGTTGCCCGGCCTTTGCTGTGTTTCTCTAAATGGCGTTTGAGGTGGTTGGTTCCGCTTTTATGATTAGCTTAAAAAATATGGCCACACAACGCACACTTAGCCTTCTGGGTGAGAAGCCTACCGTATTGATCCCTGGTGACTTTTATCTTCGCGAAGAAGTTCCACACATTGGATCTCGGTATTTTAGGAACTCTAGGTACAAAATCATCGCCACTAGATTCATGATCAACATTGGTAGGAGTAGGAGGACTAATTGTAGCTCCTGTAGTAGGAGTATTAGGACCTATTTTAACATTGGGAGTTAGGATTTACCCTTTATAATCAGAGGAGGAAGCCATTTGATTGAAGAATTAGAGAGCAAAAGCGAGTATTAGAGAGTATTAGAGAGAAGTAGATGAGTTTTGGATGAGAAAAATAAATGAAAACTCCTCTATTTATAGAGGCAACCCCTAGCCAAATGACCAAAATACCCTCAAATTTTGGTCGTTTTTAACCGTTTTGGGGGTATTTTGGTCAAAAGCCAAAAAATATCTGTTTGGCCCGGCCCAGCCCAACTCGGACACAACGATCACGAATAACAGTCACGAATGTGACCATTGTGGCCACGCCGGCCCGGGCCCAACCCGATCATAACTGTCATCCTCACCGAGTTCTCGCTCTCGCCACCTGGCCACTCTGGCCCGATCCTTTTGCTGGCCATGCTTTGCCGAGTCCGGTGCGGGTACCGACGAAGCGGCCGCGCGACCGAAGCCCCGGTTGGGCCCGGGTTTCCTAGCCATGCCCGGGCTATAGACACCGAGCCTTGGGTCCAAATGGATATAGCCCTCTCATGCTAGCGGTATTAATTTTAAAAATCCACATTAAGTTTGTGCGCAGCGTGAGTTTTGAACCTAATTTGTTTTGATACTATCTTAGATTGATTCCCTCCCTTTAACCATTAGGCCAAAACTCTGAAGTTATGGTGATTGTCAAGAATTATAGTTTTATATTAATTTTAACATGCTCATGCAAGTTGAGCGTCCTTTTTTATGCGCCGAAACCTGAACTCACGTAGCGGTGTCAATTTTTATGAATTTGATCTTGAATTGCTATGATACCATCTTAGATCGAGTCTCTTTAACCATTACACCTAAACTACCAGAGTTATGGTGAGGATCGATGTTTATAGTTTTATATTAATTCTAACAATATGATATTTGAATCAAGATTCCAAGGTACAAATTTGATTCACCGGCATGACTTGCATCTAAGTACTCCTGACTTTATAATATATGCGAATAATGAGTTTTTGAGTTAAGATTCGAGTTTGAAGAACTCTAAACGATGATGAATATATCAACATCTATACCCTTTATAAGAGGGAGTTCATGAAAAACTTTACTCTCCCCAAAATAGCCTTACCCCCAATTTAATTACCAAACATATCCCAAAATAGCCTCCCCAAAATACCCTTTCATCAGTTACGAATATATTCCTCCTTTCAATTCATCAGTCCTTTCAATTAACCGGTCCTTTTAATTACCAAACTTTACTCCTTTCAATTCCTCCTCCTCCTCCTCCTCCTCCTTCGATCTTCCATTACCTTCAACAACTTTTAGAGATGAATTCCATTCACCAGTTCATCCGTTACCCTTCATCTCGGCCCCTCTTCTCGGTTCTTACGTTACGTAGTCGCACGATCTTAAGCCATCAATTTCAAAAGATGATTGTTATTTCCCTAATCATCAACCTGTCTCTGCCATCATCTCCTCATTTGTCAGATTTTTTGCATTGGGTAGAACCAGCAAGGAATTTCATTGAAGAAGGTATTACTAAATTTTTCCTACGCTTTCTGCTCAATTCATCATCTCAACTTTTTGTTCTTCATTTCTCTCATTGGTTCTAATTTTAAAGAAAAAAATTCATTTAATTGTGTTCTAATTAGCCATCATTTCATTTTGTTCTAATTCAACAATAGGTCAAGGATTGTCCGAATTAGGGCTTGCTTCAAGTCTTCATCTTGCTCCTGTGTCAGTTTCAACAGGTAAAAATTCAATTGTTATTTTTTTGAATTTATGGTTTATGTCCTTTTAGTTAAATTTGGTGAATTAGTTTTTTATTTTGAGCTGAATTGAGGAAATTAGGGGTGGACAACTTTGTTAGATAGTATTTTCAGACACAAAAGAGGAAACTTGACTGTGTTTGTTAGATAGTATTTGCAGACATAATTTTGAGCTGACTTGAGGAAATTAGGGGTGGACGACTTTGTTAGATAGTATTTTAAGACACAAAAGGGGAAACTTGACTGAGTTTGTTAGATAGTATTTGCAGACACAAAAGGGGAAACTTGACTGGGTTTGTTATATTCCAATTATTTGCTTGCTTATATTGTTAGACATATGTAGACAATTAATTTACGTAGAATTAGGAAGAAAGCATGATATTTGTTGTATAAAATTTTGCGAAAATGAAGTGGTTGTTCAAAGACAACAGCAGGAGCAAATAATATACTAAATCTGTAGAGGAGTATGGTACACAATGCATAGGAGAACAGAGTAAAGATTCTACTCGATCAGATCCACACAACTGAATTGAAAAATTATGTTGATTAAATAATGATGACATAAAAAATTAGAAAATCATTTTCTGTTTTCATGAACTGATAACAGAGGTGAATAATAAGCAAGACCTGTAGCAGACACATGACATGCAACTATAGTTCAAGTATTTATAGCTATGATGCCTCAAAATAATGATTAAATCATTAAAAAGCTATCATAGATCTTGACTGAATAAGTACATAAGTAAATCATGCCAGAACAAAGAAATAAAGAGGTAAATGTAACCTTTCCAAGTACAGGGTCATGCCCAGAAGTTAAAGTAGCTCATAATTGCACAACAAGCGTATCGTTTTTGAGTATCCACTACCACAAATGCTCAATTGCATATACATGCTAATTGATAAACACAAAAAGTGAGAAAATTTCTCAAGGGTAAAACTCAACCTGAAAAACTGGATTAGATGTTGATGATACCTAACATGAAGGTTCAAGAAAAGTTTATGTATTAGGATTGATCGCATTGTATATCAATTAAACACCACCCCAGAAAAGAAGTTTGTACCAACTATGTTCAAGTTATCTGAATAGACAAGAAAGCTAGCAAACTCCAACTTTTTTGCAGCCTAGACTTTTCCTTTCCTCTGTTTTCTCCACCCATGATATAACCAGGAACTATCCAATGAAAACAATGTAGTAACTTCTGCAGAATCTCATAAACCTGCATGCACAATTCTCGCGTCAGCACAAGAACCAACGCTGATACATATTGTCAATCAAATGTTAATCCCAAATGTTCTTTTTTCCCACTTTTAATAAGAAGACCAAATGTATCATTACTATGATGAACTAATAAAAGCACAAACTACTATGTGAGCATACCAAATTCCCATCGGATCGTTGAATCCGCTGATCATAAGCATAAAGTAAATTCACAATTGGTGCGAGATACACAATAGTCTTTCCGGTCCCAGTAACGGCATTAACAAGTCTATAATCTCCATCTAACGGGGGGAAACTATTTAAAAAGAGAAATTTTAAATTTCCAATGAAATATATAGAGAAATTTCAAATTTCCAATGAAATATATAGAGAATAAAAAAGGATACACATCTTTCCCCTCGATTACAACTGCAATTGCCTGAGCCTGGATATGAGTTGGAACTTGAAATCCCATTTTTTACCTTAGTTTCAGTTATACCTTGAAGATGTTGGTATAAAACCTGTTATTGTTATCTTAGTTTTCTGCTCTCATTAAGGGCTTCTATATTGTTGCTGTCTGTAAACATTTCCTTACGTGCTCTGATATAGTAGTTCATATGTACAATTTCTTGCAGGTTATTTGCCCTAAAAGAAAAAAGATCTTGCATATTAAGATTTATGAAACAAGGGTTCAATTTATATGTTAGAACATGCTGAGGAAATCTGAGAATATGTATCACCTTGTATATAGACATCACTTAATGTAGACTGGGTGCTTATTTTTTTTGGCTTTTTTTGTTTGGTTGGTTGGTTTGTTTTTTTGGTGGGATGGGGTGGTTTTTGTTCTTTTTTTTGTGGGTTTGGATGATGTTTTTCTCTGAATCTTTGGAAACTCAATTCCTATTGACTTAAAGTTTCAGTTATTAGTTCTTTGAAGCATTTGCATACAACATGATGTTAGAAATTCCTTGCATCCATTCATTGACTTGATGCTATGGGTTTCTCAATCAAGTGTCATAGAATGGATATAGATCTGAAGCATTTTTAATATTGAGACATAGACTCTGTTATGTGTTGAATTTGTTTGTCTTAGATGCCGGAGGAATGGAGGATTGAATTTGTTTGAAAGAATGCATCTTTATCAAGCTCTTTATGCTATTTCTTGCGGTTTATATTTCAGTTTTACGTACTACTAAATATGAGTATGTGGCCTGATTGCAAATAAGCTTACAACTTACTCTATTGACTTCTTCTCTTTGTGTATGTATCTCCACCCAAATATATTTCCATCTCTCCTCGCTAGAGTCTGTGGTTGGCTATTGTTCAACCAAGATACTTGCAGGGATTATGTAAATGATATGATAAAATCCCCAATTGGACGAGAAAGAACAGTGGCCTTTATAAATAATATGAAATGGTGCAACATAGTTTATAAGATCATATACATATGAGCGCTTACCAAAAAAGCTAGAAATTGATTTCCTACTAAATATAAGCTAGAAATTGATTTCCTACTAAATATTTCATAAGGTAATGTGAATAACTTAATTTGGTTGTATCTTTGTTCATAATAATATCATGCATCTCTGTCTCAGTGTCTCTTGCCTGTTTGGTCGGTGGAGAAATATACGATTTCTTAGAAACATTAAACTAAAAGCGTAGACAAGCCTCATATTTATAATCCTTGTACCTGTTTCTACAATTGAATATTTTTTTTGTTAGCCTTACTAAAACCCTCATTCTGTAAATATTTTGGTTGATATATTTGCTTTGTTTCCTGATAGAATCCTATTAGACTCAATACTCCCTAATCTTCTTAATTTTCTTTACTTGTTTTAATGCACACATTATACCGTTCCTAATAATTTAACATTTTTCATATTAATGCAGATATTCTACTTGGTTGGATTTGCCTTGTTCTTTTTTGAAAACATTTCTAAATTTATCGGTGATTCAGGTGAGTTAAGCAACTTTCTTCTATTTTCTCTTTATTTTATTCATAGTGATGGTAACTCTATTTCCTTGTATTTATCTTCTTCTTCACTTAAATATTTATTATTATTATTATTATTATTATATGACTTCAAAAAACAGAATTAACCTTAGCATATGAGATATTTGTGATCACTGATGCATGTATAGTGTACCAAGTTTTTCAAAAAAAAACCTTAAATACTATTGAACATCAATTAAAATATACTTATTCTCTCAAATTATATTCATTGCTATACTTATGTTAAATAAAATTAATAATTTAACGCATTAAATTTTCTTTTCCTTGTAGAAATTTACATTCAACTTCTTGGATTGCATAATCACTATACATTTGCATAAGAGTACCTTCTTCCAAATGACTTCAAACCAAGGTATTATTATTTTTTTATGTGTATTTATGTTTATTAATAGTATATTTTATTATTTTTTAACAGAAGAACAAATTCTAATACATGAGAGTAGAAACACCAAATATAATCAGTTGAATGTTGATCAGAAGAGAACTTATATTCAGAAGGTCATTGATAATAATAGAAAGAGGAAAACGAATGATTTTGCTAGCAGTAGTACCAATAGCAAGCGAAAACGTAAGATTGTTTTGTTTTGTGGAGCGCAACAGCGGGAATATAAGCATGGAGGCTTGCATAGATTAATTTTATATTTTATTAAAATGATTACATGATTTTATATATCTAAATTTATTAAACACTAAAAACTATTATTTTTTTCTAGGTCAAATTAACCATGAACCAGTATGTTCTTTATTACATAAACTACGCACTCCAAAGTCTTGTTCATTTTGTGGAGCAAAAAAATTTGAACACGAGCCACCAACATCCTGTTGCCACAATGGTGAAATCCACCTAGCAGATGTGAATGTTATAAGCTTCTCATAAGAACGAAACCAGGTCCTTTGCTTTCATATCTCTGTTGCAATTTCTTCAACCATGTATAAGCTTCTCATAAGAACGAAACCAGGTCCTTTGCTTTCATATCTCTGTTGCAATTTCTTCAACCATGAGGACTTTCCAACAGTTTATAGCTCATTTGCTTTCATATCTCTGTTGCAATTTCTTCAACCATGAGGACTTTCCAACAGTTTATAGCTCAACTGACTGACTGACTGATTTCCTTCTCTTTTTTGAATGAAACTCCAGTACCATTTGGGAAGAGGTCATATAGGTACATCAATGAAAGCAAATTTATACCACCTGTTGGAGCAGAGATCAAGTTCATGGTACTCTTTTACTTTCAATTTGGGTGCTTGTTATTATGCTTTCATATAACTTATTTCCCCCTTTTGTTTATGTTTTTGTAGCCGGCATTTTGTTATTCCTTTATGGAGGGGAAGCAGCTACGTCAACATATTCCTTCAAGGTTTATCTCTATTACCTTTAGAGGTGTTATATGAACATTCTGGCAATTTATGGATTTATGATCCCAAGTTATTCTTATTTTCTGTGAGGTATTTATCCCTATTCTTTAATCACGAATCTTCGTAAATATGATAGATATGTCATCAAAGTCACCAATCTTGTGTCTATTTTTTCTTTCACCAATTAATGTGTTTTGTACGGAATTCATGCTAATTACAGACTCACTTTGTGCTAGCTACAGACTGCCTTTTGAGAACCTCATTATAGAAAGGTGAAAATATATTGTTAGATTTTTAGATCATTATACATGTGGGAAGCCTTCTTGTGTAACAGTTGGATATGATTTTTATTACATAATTGATCATCTCAGGAGCCATGTGTTCAACTCATAGTAGTATGTAGGGTAAAAGAATATTTTTCAATTTCACAATAACAGTATTTGAAGTATCAGACATACCATGGCATGTGAAAGACAGTTCAATAACTAATTGCTTGTTGTTATTCGTATAGTTTCATGTTTCAATACTTCATTTTTAACCTTTTACCTCAAACCCTTCCCCATTCTTTCGTCTTAAAACCTTGAGTAATCTATAGATGGTTTCCAGGCTTTGTTATGGACAGGAATCAATTGTGGGTGTAAACAAATACGAATAATTCAAAAAGAGAAATATGATCTTTGTCTGATTTCATATTCATCTTTTGACAAATATGGATATCTATTACATGACCCATTAAATATGGATTAGAATATAGAAGTAATAAATTATGAGATATCAAGTATATTTAATATATTAAAAATGTACATATTTTGGCTATGTCCAATACTAGATGGTGCAATGTTTATTGTTAGACCTTTATATATTTGTATAATTCTAATATCAGGAAAGACTTAAAATAAGGTCAATATTTCTTTTTTTTAAGGTAGCACAAAGTAAAAGGGGCCTATGCAGTGCACATGCACAAGTTCTACATGGAAGAAAGGACTTATGTACCATAGTAAACCTGATGAACCAATTAAGCATATAGATGTAAGTCCATACATTCAGTTAGTTCATATCACAGTAAACCGGCTCGGGGCATTCTCAGCCAAGCAGTGCACCTTTTTTAGGGGGCAGTTTGGACTTTTCACTCTCCCTTATTTGGCTCAGGTTATCCCGCACCATGCAAGGTTCTGATAGAATTCATGCACCCTTCTGGATACTTCACTTTCATCCATTAGCACAAAATGTGATATTCTGTTACCTCATATTTGCAAGTATCCTGTCTTTCAGTTCAATCAAGTAGAATGTTGGTGTATTTCATGGCTCACCCATGTTAATTTAGCTACTGTCATTTTAGCAATTCAATGCAGAAAGTGGCAACTTTTCCTAAATATTATATCTTAAATTGATTGTGATTGGTATTTCTCTATATTTCCAGCATTTGGACATAGAATGTCATTGATTGGTTTATTTTCAAGTGACTGAAACATTTCAAATTACTCCTTACATCTTATCAAAGTTAGTAATCTGTTCTACAAATTAAAAACAAAAATAAATGAAAATGTGATGTGTAATGTAATATATACAGAAGATGACTTTTTCTTGCTACCTTTAAGTTGCAACTAATCAGAAACACTTTTAATTCCGAAGGAAAAAACTGTTGATTTCCTTGGTTATCATGTTTTTTTTGTTTTTTTAATGATCATATGACACAAAGTTTCTATATCTTGGTCTACTGCCTTCTCATACTTGGAATTTCCACACTAGTAAAAATTGGATTATTGTAGACGGATTATCCTAGACGGAAATTTTTCCGTCTAGGATGCTAAATCCCGCGACGAAAAATTTCCGTCTGTATTATGCCGTCTGGAATAAATTATTCCAGACGGAAATTTCCGTCTAGAGAGTATTCTAGACGGAAATTTCCGTCTAGAATAAGTACTGTAGCTTTCTTTAACATTTAAATTTTGAAAAAACGTGGGTCCCACCATTCCAGGCGGAAATTTTCGTCTGGGAAGTATTACAGACGGATTAATCCGTCTAGAATAGTGGGACCCACCTAAAGAAAATCTCCCTTTTCATTTTAATCCTCTCATCGCAGCCCTTCGAACCCCTCTCGAAAATTTCAGATCCCTCCCCTTTTCTTCGATGCTATCAAGGAATTTTCAGATCCCCTTTTTCTTCGAACCCCTCACGAAAATTTCAGTTCCCCTGATCTTCGATCTGAGCTAGGGTTTAAACCCTCCGATCGCAGCCCTTCGAACCCCCTCGCTTCCCCTTCGATCTCGGCCACTCTCTCAAAACTCGTCGCCGGCGAGATACCCCGCTGCCGCCGAGAAACCAAGTTCTGAGTCAACGTACGCACGCAGGTAACCTCTGTCTCTCCGATCCCCTCTTCCCTTCTCCTCTCTCGTCGAAACCCTAGATCTGAGCTAGGGTTTCGATCTCCCCCTTTCTCCTCTCTCTCCCCGTGTACAACGGAACCCTAGATCTGAGCTAGGCTTTTCTCTTTTGTAGCTTATTTTCTCCTCTCTTCGGGTTGCTCTCCTCAAGCTGCTGCCATTTGTGATTGGGTTCAAGGTATGGCTTCGAAAATTGCTGTTTTTAAATTTTTAAAATTTTTTGTATATTAATCTCTCAAGTACCAATTTTGACAATTCCATATTAGTTTTGGAGTTGCTCCGAAGTCCTTCAAATATCACAATATATATATGAGATTTGTTTTCTGCTTACTCTTGTGCTGGACCTATTTTTGTGATGTGAAAGGGCAAATTGATATGAGACAGATTTAGAACCTTGTTTACTCCAACCAGAGAGATGTCAATAAAGCAAACAGTATGTTTCTGGCCGCCGATGGCTTGCGTGCCGACCGTTTTCGATGTTTGTGGTCTTGCTAACAACAATATTTTAAATTTAGTGTGAGTTATAGAAGAAAATGTTTTCAAAAGAATAGAGTGATATATAACACAATATTATATAATAATGTGTTATATATCCAATTTAGGTGAAAAAATATCACGTTATCTTTAGACTCCCATCCAATAATTACATCCAATTCTTTGAGGTTATAATATAAGATAAACGACTCGAATTTTTGGGAAGGAGATAAAGTTCTCTACTCAAAAATGATCGTTCATTTTATATTATACTAGGAAAGATTTGGTATATAAATTTGTAATTATTGGATCTGTCCTTCTCGGACGGGTTAGGAATATAGTAGTGCATACATCCAACTTTATATACTTTGTATGTTTTCATTTCTTGAAAATTTCGGCAACTCATACCTGTTGTTCTCCGTGTACAATAAGCGTATGTTCTGCGTTTTGGTATATTATCAATACGCATAATAACATCCGCACAGTGTACAGGGAGAACAACGGGTAGGTGCTGCCGAAATTTTCAGGAAATGAAAATATACAAAGTATATGAAGTTGGATGTAAGCACTACTATATTCTTAATGGGATAGAAGCCTTCCTATGACAGCCGTTAGACGATGCTAATTAGTTGAAGCTACCTTAATAAGTTTCAAACATAAGCCAATGAGCCTAACTTAAATGCTGCAACGTATGTTTAA